AAAATATTGGGATGGGTATTTAAATAGTCTTTTAAAAGTCCAAAAATATATGCAGAACTGGAAGTAACTATGTTATAGTCACAGTAAAGCAGACATATATTAGATTATCATGTCTTATTCCAAACTCCACCACTTAAAAGAAATGAAAAAATGTGAAAAGTGATTAAAGCACCACAACACATCAAGGACTAGAAGAAGGGTTTCTTTGAAAAATACTTCAATGATCTGTTTTAGAACAGACAGTCCTAATAGTCTATGTATAGCCTTTAATTTGAGAATACTTAAAAAGTTGTAATAAAGGGTATGCAAATAAGTCTCATGTTATGTATGGTGCTAAGTAGAAATTTCTGAGAAAAGATCATCAGAAATTAGACTTGACTGTCAAGGACAGCTAAGATGGAGTAGATTCTCATTTGGCTGATACACATCAAATCTTGCCTAAAGGCTGTGGAACAAATTGAATGACATGAAAAAGATACTTGTACTTTTTAATGGGTAACAAAAAACAGTGATTAGCCCAGGAAATCAGGTTCCAGTACTAATCGCACAATTTAAATAACCATGTGTTATAAAGGTTTACTATATGAAGTGTTGTTAATGATATATGGAAGGAAGATTTAGAACTAGAGGCCTTTGCTCATTAGTCAGGATCAGAACTAATTAGAAACCTTATAGTAATACAATAATATGATTTCAGTTAAAATGGACCATTGGTTTGAGAAAGTAATTTAATCATCCATTTGTATTCCCTAAATGATTTTCTTGAAAGATAATGGCTAGCCTAACTCTTCATGGTATCTCCATTAGATTTTCAAGAGTTATAGGTCTAAGATGTTCCTTAATATAATCTGCAGCTTTTGGGCTGAAAATTAATCAAGGTCACAAAAGCCTAATGAAGGATATGAACAAGTTTAGTATTTTTTTGATAGGCCAGAGGGTCAGGGGACCTCAAGAACAGACAATTCATAATGGAAAAGTAACCAAAGAAAATATGTTAAAAAATAAGTTTTCAAAAATAGCCATTCTGTATAAAAGTTTGACAAGGCATGTATTCCTAGAAAAAAAGTTAAAAGCATTTTTAACTTGGTCTAAGTTTATAAAATCACCATTTAGAAGAAATTCTTTGTGCATATTAAGCAAATTACACTTACAGTTTATACAGCATTCCAGTTACATTCAAGCCACTATTATAAAAATTATGGGATATAAAAATATGGATTTACCAAGAGAATTTTTAGAGAATGCATGGTCTTAGTAGTAGGTAATTTGTTAGCAACCCAATGCTAACAAATGTTATTTATATAGCATTTGTAACTCTATTAACTATTCTTCAGTTCTTGCTGATGATACATCTCTGAATCTACAAAACAAAATCAATGAACAAGAGTGCTTACATTGTGGAGTATTAATATTGGAACACATCATAAATTCCCAGAGCAATCTTCCCTAAAATGTTTACAGTTAAGGAGTTACTCAGTTTCAGAAAGCACTTCTGTAATAGACTCATCTTTTCAAGGCAAATGCTTCAACTCTCTTGTCAGTCAATTTAATAACACCTGTAATTCAGAAAGATGCAAGTCTCTGGTCACTTACTCAAAGAGGAGGGGGATGAGATCAGCATAACAATTATGAAGATAGAGTCCTCATCTTATGAGATAAAGTCACTATGTATTTCCTTTTAATTTTTTTTATTTTTACAAAATATTTGCAAATGAGCTCTAAACAACAAACACAAATCTTTAGAATGAAATAGGTCATGTTCTGATAATCTGCTAGGTGAAAAATTGCAAAGACAAAATAAGTAGCAACCAGGGTCATGATAAATTTTTTAAAACACAAACCTTTCAAATTTATACTTTTTCATACTTTTGTTTCTATTTCTTTCCTTCTTCTTCCTCTAGGTTATCACAGAACTAAGCACTTAAATATTCCTTCCTATGCTCAAACCTGGTGAGATTCCTCTGAACTTATGACTTCACTCACTCATTCACTCATTCATTCATTTATTCATTCAGATAATTTTGCAGTGCTGAGGATCCAACCAATGGTCTGCCACAAGATTAGTGAAGTACTTTATTGCTGAGCTACGACCCAGCCTGACTTTATTTACAGAAATTCCAAAATACAAGTTTTAAAGCCTACGCAGAAAAAATTCATTCAAAAATATTACAAAAATAAAAGTTTTCTAGTGGTTGTTTCATATTTATGTTTTGAATTTCTTTTGATAGCTTTATTGAGGTATCAATGATAAACTGCATATATACTGAGTGTACAGAATGATGGTTTTGATATGTGTATATCCATGAAACCATTACTATAATCAAAATGATAAGCATGTCTATCATCCTAAAGTTTTTTGACCCATCATCTCTTCCTCCCACTCCCAAAGTCCATTTCCACAGAACTGCAGATCTCCCTCTGTCACTATGGGTTAGTTTGCATTTCTCTAAAATTTCATATAAATGGAATTGTACAGAGGTAGTCTCTTTTGTCTGACTTCTTTCATTAAACATAAGTATTTTAAAATTCACCCATGTTGTTATGGGTATCAAACAATATCAAAGTTTCTTCTTTTATATTGCTAAATATCCCACATGAATTTATAACAGCATATTTGTTCATTCTTCTGTAGATGGTTACTTGAGTTGCTTCTAGTTTGGATTTTTTACCAAAAAAAAAAGTTCCATAAATATTACAAATAAGATTTTGAGTAGATATACACTTTCTTTTCTCTTGGACATATATAGAGGTTTAATGGCTGCATAGTATGGCAGGCATAAGTTTAAATGTAAGAAAGTGCCAGGCTGGTGGAGTGGCTCAAATAGTAGAGCACTTACCTAGCAAGTATAAGGCCCTGAATTCAAACCCCCAGCAGTACCAAGTAAGAAAGACAGGAAGGGAAGGAGGGAAGGAACAAAGGAAGGAGGGCAGGAGGAAGCAAGGAATAAGGAAAGGAATAAGGAGGGAGGGAGGAAAGAAGGAAGGAAGAAAGGAAGGGCCAAACTATTTTGCAAAGTGTCTGTACCATTCTACATTTTGCACTTGGAGAATATTGATGTTTTGGTTGCTACACGTCACTGACGACACTTGAGTTAACTAATTTTTTAATTTTAGCCATTTGAGTAGGTATGTAGTAATATCTCATTTTGATTTAATTTACATTTCCCATAAAAAAAACTAATGATGGTGAATGTCTTTTTATGAAACTATTGGCCACTGGTACAAATTCTCATTTTAATTTATGTTTCTTTTTAAAACATTTTATAGATGGCAAGATTCACTATTTAGGCATATAGTTCTATGGACTTTGACCCATTTACAGCTATATAACCACTACAGACAACAAGTATAACCAATATACTTATCAAGACACAGAATGCTTCCATCACTGTAAGAGCTCCGTCATACTGCTTCTTTGCAGTAGTACCCTACACAAACTTTGAGCTCCAGCAATCACAGGCATATTTATTACAATAGTTTTACTTTTTCCAAACTGTCATTTAAACAGAATCATACAATACACAGCCTCTTGGCCTGGCTTCTTTCACTTATCACAGTGCACTTGAGATTCATCCACACCATTGTGTCTATCAATATGTTATTCCTTCCTGTTTATTGCCAAATGCTAGTCATTCCATTCCACACATGGACACAACTTTGTTCGTCTACTCACTAGTTGGGAATATTTGTCTCATTTCCAGCTTTTGGTAATTATGAATAATGCTGCCGTATACATCCATGTATAGATGTTTGTTCAAAAAATCCTTTCATTTATCTTAGTTATGTAGGAATAAGATGACTGAGTTTGGAGATTAGAATATGTTAAATTTTATAAGAAAGTGCCAAAAAATTTCCACTGTGGTTGTGCTAACTTGCATTTTCACCAGCTGTCAGACTTGGTATGACTACATTTTTTTCAAAAGTTATTTAGCCTTTCTAATAGATAGTGGGTATCTCACTACAGTTTTAATGTTCATTTCCTTACCAACTAAAGATGTTATCTTTTCATGTGCTTCCTTCCCAACTGTATACCTTGTCTATTTGATTTATACAAAAGTGTGAAGTTAATTCATAGGACAGTTTTTCAACAAATTCTGTTGAAAAACTTGGTATAAAAATATTTTAAAATCCTTTAACGTATACCTTAAGCCACACGTAAAAATTTCCTCAAAACCAATCATACACTGAAATATAAAACTCAAAATTGTAAAATTTCCAGAAGAAAACCTTTTTAACCACAAGCCTGGCCAATATTTACTGGATATTTCAGCAAAGGCATGAGTCATAAAGGAAGACAATGGTAAACTGGACTTCATCAAATTAAAGACTTCTCTTCCAAAGGTAAGGAAGAAAGACAAACCACATTTGCAAAGCATCTAGTGTTACAGAATTTGTATCCAGAATATCTAAAGGATGCTTAAAACTTAATAATAATGCTAGACAATGTAAAAATGATTGAAAGATCTGAAATTCATCAAAAGATGATATAAATGACAAACACAAGGTATCAAATATCATGACTTACTAGAGAAATTCAAATTAAAACACCAAGGAGATAGGAATACATATTTATTGGACTGACTAAAATTAGAAATATTGATTGAAATAAGTGTTAATTTAGCTGTGGAACAAGTGTAACTCATATCTCTGCTGGCGGAGAACAGTGGAAAGCAGCGTAGCTAAGAGAAACGCAAGCATATGTCTATATGTAGTGCCATACATCAATGTTCACAGCAGCTCTGCATGTAGTAATCCAAAAGTGAAAAGAGGTGTCCATAAGCAATTGAACAGAAAAAACACACCATGTTTCCACTACACCTATGGAGGTACCCAAGTACAAAACAGCCACTTTTAGAGTTACAGACAAAATGCATAGGAAGCAAAGGAAACACTCTATTGAGCCCCTATATTAACTCACATCATCTAAGTGATAAATAAGAGCTACATAGCATAAAGTATCATTTCTTTGTTTTTAAAACACCTGAAGTTTAGCATCTTACCTATATATTTATAGCCTTCCTCTCCATTTACAATAGGTCTCAACCAAGTTGACTTAAGTTGTGAATTACAACTGTGCACGTGAGCACCTTGCGGAGGGTACATTGTAAATAACATTTCAGTTGCAGTAGACTTTTTGATTACTTCAGAATGTATCCTTTTTCTATCTGTAATAAAAAGAAATATTAAGAGTTCTTATAGATTTACACTTTACAGAATGTTTATACGTTCATTTTAAGAGACACAGATTAAAAACTATTTAACAATTTCAGTAGTAAGCATTACATTGAAAATATGAATTTTCTTTCATCAAAGTTACTTTATCAAAAGCTTTATTGTCTGTATAATACCTTGCAAAAATTAAAGAGTGGGGCTTTAATAATATCACCTCCAAATGCCATCAGTTTAAAACAGTTTGATAAAAACTGAAATAACCAATGAATAGAATTTACATTATTCCACAAAGTAACCATATTTTTGTTTTTAATTGTCTTTAAACAATGGAATCAGATTAACTGACAAAAATGTTGAGTACATGTAAAGTTCGATAAACTGAACACACAGGAAGTAAAGAGAACATTCTGAAAGAATTAATATACATAGGCTGATGTTTTTAAGAAAATATAAAAGTACATATGCTGTGACTGATTTATTGGTCAAACATTTATATTCCTTTTGTTAGGTGGAATTCTTAAAAATATTAACATATTTAATTTCTATAACACACCTATAAGGTAGATCTTATTATTATTTCCTTTCACAGGAAGATATTGAGGCCTAGAGAAGTAATGAACTTGCCCAAATGTCAGCGTGTCAGTTGAGCAGATAGGACTCAGATGGTTCAAGAAACACTTAGTTGCAAATAAATCTTTGTCAATTAAACATGAGCTGCATTAAATAGTAAATGAGAAACTGGAATTAAAAATAGTGTCTGTGGTCTTCGCCCTCGGCCCTCCAGTTTATAACTTTCAGTTTTTAGTTGGTAAGTCAGTGTCCTAAAAATTAATGGAAAGTCTCCTGAGCAACTAAAGTGACTCTGTTGTGTGATTATTAACTTTTGAGGCGTATTCCCCTGCGTTCTTTTATTCTTCATGTTTCTATTTGAAATTTGTTCATGTGTTGGTGATAAGTTAGTTGGGGTTTTAATTGCCTGTTAACTTTCCCTTTACTTAATTTCTATGCTCCGGCTAACTTTGGTTTTAGCTAGTGTAATGTTTCTGTTCACTGACAAGGTATATCTTAGCAATACCAAACTCACAGATTCAATGCTGAACCACTTATTTACATAATATATAAAAACGATTGGCAATACTATCTATAAACGGTGGATGTTGGGAAGATAAAAGTTGTCTGCATAGAGATTGATACTCAGATAATTAAAATGATGGCGACAGAAAAGGAGACAGGGAGAGGGGATGAGCAAGGGGAAGAAGAGGTATGAGGTGTGGGGGCTTTGGAGTAATAGGCCCTAATGTGTGTAAAAGTGAGTTCAGCCACTGTGTGGGCAAGGTGCTACTGTCAGGGATTGCAGAAGGATAGGAAGGATGCAGTAATGTGTAAAGTTGGTGTAATAGACTACTTGGTGAGTGGTTAGCGTGGAAGAGATAGGAACACTGGGGGTAAGTAGGGGAAGTAAGGAAGATAAGGAGAGGGAAGGAAAGAGAAAAGATGAAGAGAAAAAATCAGGGAGAGAAAAGAAAGTGGAACAAGAGAGGACTAAGCAAATTAAAATTTCAACAGAATGGGAAAAGGAGATGGGTAACAAAAAAACAGAAAAATTTTTTTTAAAAGTGTGTGTGTGTGTGTGTGTGTGTGTGTGTGTGTATTGTCCAAACTTCTTCCTTGTTATGAAGAGGAGTGGGCTTCCTCTGAGTTCAATGAGTGTTCTGGGTGCTTCTCTCAGATTTCTAATTTGGGTGCTGTCCCTTCTGTCTGGGCTTTCTCTGCATGCCTGCCCTCCTTAAGGTTGATATGCTGGGCTAAAGCCAAGGCCACATGTTTCCTCTATATTCCTCATGGAATATAGACCCAATACAAATACAGAAATATTATGAAAAACAGGTCATGCTAAGGAGAGGTCACATACAAGAGAGGGAAGGTAAAAGAAGGAAGCTAAAAAGATGAATATAATTGATGTATTTCTTATACAAGAATGGATATAGGAAGGTGAGTACAGTGCAAAAATGTATACACATGTATGTAAATGCAAAAATGAAACCTGTTGAAACTACTTCAGGAAGGGGGTGGAGGGCAACAAAGGAGAATGTTAGAGGGGTTGAATTCATGTATGATATATTTGATACATTGTAAGAACCTGTGCAAATGCCACAATGTACTCCCACACAGCACAAACACAGGAAAGAAAGAATGAGTGTAGAATTTTTAAACCTGTTGAAATCACCATAAGAAGGGGACTAAGATAGAAAGGAGAAAAATAGAGGGGATGAACCAATTTGGGTTATAATACAAATATACATGGAAATGTCACAATTAATACCATATATAGCTATCTTAAACAAACAAAAATGTCTTTTTTTTCCCCAAAAGCAGAACAGGAAGGCAAAACAGGTCCTGTCAGGGGGTGAGGGGCTGGTACAGTGGGAGGGGACAGGATGTAAGGAAAGGGTGTAGGAGGGTGAGTAAAAATATTGTGTGATCATGTATATAATGGAAAATGAGACCTGTTAAAACTATTCCAGAAATGGGGGGAAAAGGGATAAAAGAGATTATAGAGGGAATGAATTCAATTACACTATATTGTAAGAATTTTTGTAAGTGTCACAATGTACCCCAGTACAACAATAATATAAAAAAAGAAGAAAAATAAAGTGACTCTCCATAGACAATTCAAAGAAAAGAGCTACTAACATAAACCTCCTCCTAAAACCTCAGGACATTTTTCTTTCTTTCCTTTTATTTTCCCTTTATTTTGGTAAAGTAAGTACAAGGCAGTCTGGCATAATGGTTAAGAAAGTAGATTTGTTGGTGAGCAAAGAGCCAGGCACAATCTATTAACTTACAACTCCACCCTTATTGTCCTGTTTGTGAGACTACAGCCTTTCTTACCTGCTACAGAACACAATTTGAAGCATCAAACTCAGCGGACAAGGGGCTCATCCTACTTCTGGAAGCTTCTTTCAGTAGGTTCCTGCTATACACATTGACCAGCAGGGCAATTTCCATGACACCCTATGAGGCAACCTTCCTCCTCTCACCATTGGGAGCTTCCTAGAGAGTTCCGTGGTACAGCACCTTCACGCAAAATGCACCCTGTGAGTCCCACATGGGACTTCTCCCCATGGACAGTGTCTTTCAGCAAGTGACTTCCCATGATATCCGCTAGCAGGCCACTTCAGTGAACTTCTCTAGCATTCACCAAGCCACAGTTACACCTTGTCTGGACCTGAGTGTGGAGGTGAATGACCAGCTTTATAATCTGTTCTTTCCTTATGTACTCTGCCTCAGACTGACAGTGGCCACTCTCTACATCTGCTCTTCTCAAGTCTTGAGACTCAGTAGATATCTTAGTTACTCTATCCCCTGTCAGAGTTAATAATTCTTCATATTAGACTTTTCTTGCTCAAATTACTGTGTAGTTTCTCCTTGCTGAACCCTAACTCATCCAGACAGCTTTGAGTCCTAATTCTTGAATTATCTTTAATAGGCTTGGAAATATTAAACAAATCAATTTATCTCCTGGTGATAATATTGACCTTCCATGGCCATTGTTAGAATTAAGTGATACAATATCTATAACATTTTATAGCACAGTGCCTATAAGCATTCTGAGTGTATTATTAGTTTTCACTAGTATTATTTAAATAATAATAAGAACTGTGAGTGTTAGGAATAATTAAATTATTGCATCTTTTGGCTATAAAATATTGAGGGACATTTCTGCTTCTTTTTTAAATATAAAGTTAAAATTTATTACCTTTTAACAAAAACAAATCCACAACAAAAGGATCCTCAGATGTGCTCAGATATGTAAATATTAAATATATCACCTACATAATTCTAAATTTCCATTTCTCATCTGTCATCAGGATAGAAGGAAGCCAACAACTACTGTACAGCTGAAGAGCTAGCCCTACTTCACTTCGTGGTTCTAGTCAAACTTCTTTAAGAAGTGGAGTAGAGCAGGCAATGGATGAGTTTTTTGGGTGTGGAGGAGGCTAAGGATGGAGAATCACATCACAAGGAAGAGCAAAGCTAAATGAAATACAATCCTGAAGCTTTCCATAGAACTCAAAATAAGGAAACAAAATAGATCAGAGCTTCTCTTTGAAATCATAAATTAAAAAAATGAAGTAAGGAAAACTAGGAAAAATTAGAGCTACTTAGTATGACAGAACCAAATTGCACACAAGGCTTTTCCCCTCCATAACATTTAAATCCTCCTAATTCCTTTAGCTTAAAAAGTGGTGTTTAGTAACTTTAATTGGTAGGATTATGCTTATTAGTTTTAATAAAGCATTTCATTTTCCATAAAGACATGCATCAATTTCAGGCAAATAAAATGCCTTCATTTAAATCTAAGTTGTGGTGAATGTAAAAATGCCAGTTCTTTGTTGGCTGTCTCTTACTTGCTGAATTTACCTTCTAGTTAAATCTATCTTCAAGAGAATATAATACATATATATTATATTGCAAAGACCACAGGCCAAAAACAATGGCAACAGATAATAGAGATTTTCTTCTAGTATGCATTCACTAAATGTTAATTTACAGGCATCGTTCAGCCCTGTGAGGTTTTCAGTATGGGGCTATCATATGTGAGTTTGACAATCAACTGTGATCCACTGCAAATGACCAACTTTTCATACTTCATCATTGACCACTTAAAGCACTTTATATATGTTGCATTCATTTTTTAAAATCAATTTTTTAAACTGCAATATAAGGTCATAAAGATTACTGATGGAGCAAATATGATGTATTCGTTACATTGTAAGAAACTTTGTGAATGTAAATGCCACAATGTATCCCCACCCAGCACAATGATAAAGGGGGAAAAAAGATTCAATACAAAAAGAAAAATGGTTCATACCCCTGAATAATAACCTGTACAAATAAAAGAAAGAACCACTGATTTTATATTGATGTTAAATACTAATATTACCTCATTTAACTAGGAAAAAAACTGTCCATTAACATTTGACT